TCCATAAGACAAAGGAGAGGTGCTGGGTGGTTTACCCTCCCAAAACCACTAACAAAACCTGAGTGACAAAAGGATTTGAAAAGTTGCACCTAGACTAAACAGATTTCTTTAGATAAAAAAATGCATGCAACTGTGTTTAAGAAAGCAATCTGATTCAAGTGAAAGAAGTTTAAGCTTGTGTAACAGACACAGGCTGTGTTTTTTTCCTTTAATCATTTTTTCTCCCTTCTTTCAACATAGCAGAGCAACACTGTTCAAATTTAACCTCCATCTGTGTGATTATTAATCAGATCACACATCAATTGCCAGAACCAGCAAAGAAATTCAGCCTGTAATAAAACTGTCATGTGCTGTGGTATAAAGACAGATGTTGCCAGTTGTGTGATAACATAATTAAACTGTTCTGTGAGGAATTCCATAAAATTATTCAAATTGGACGAGCACTATCATTTTACCAATAAAGCAATTTAGGGCAATATGCAGTGTCATAACACTGATGTTATCCTCTCTGCCAGATTTTCCAATAAGTCGGCGCCTCTGCTTGGCCTCCTGTGACAATATGAACAGTATACATGAGCATACCTGAGAGCTAGTGGAGTATGCACAGCAAGACTGTGTGAACTCATATTCTTTTAGTGTGATCTCCTCTATGGATGCAAACTGTATGAGTGCATGAGTTAGATGGCATGACTCTGGAAGGAAGCACACATTCAGCAGGATTATGCACCGCAGCTATTGGTCAAATAGCACCCAGAGCAAAGTCACCTTCACCACACATGTCAAATATTCAGCACTGCACTGCGCAGATATATAATTCTGCAGTAGAGCAAATACAGAGATGCTGGCAGGAATTCAACTCAGACGTGCGGTGATAAGGCTGTGTTCGTCTTGTGAAACACCAGATTTCAATTCAGACATAGCACTCTCTCTCCCTCTTGCCCTCAGCTCTGCGGCAGAGTACATGCGATTAGCGGAGATCTGAGGCAGCAAATGCTCTCTGACCTCCTCTCTGACCTGACGCTGTTAACTCTCTTAGTCTGACCATTAGCCCATAATGTGGACTGGATGCCAGAAACCAGCAGGACCTGCACTGGCAGGCCTGGCCTCTGTTGTGTGTGAGCATGCATGTGTTTATATGTGTACAGTATATCTGTGTGTCTGTGGGTGTGTACCTGTCTGAGCGTACTGTGATAGTGAGGCATATCATCTAGCACTTCCCCCCGAAGCTCGGCAGAACAGAGCTCGGTGACGGTGGCTAAGACGTGCATTTCCACCTTCTCGAGCCTCCACAAGGGACCGTGTAAGCCTTGCATTATGCAAACAGGAAACCTGTGCCCGCTCAGCTCATTCTGTGGCCACTGTTATGCGTGTCACTCTATCCTCTCTGCACACGCAACACGATGGTGGACCCGTGATTGGCTGGCCTTATCTTGCGATATGTAACAAAGCTTTAAAGGCACTTGTTTGACAAAGCAGACTGTATGGGTGCGTATGCAATAAAAGAACAGCAATTATTCATGCCTGTTTTATTTTTTCCTTTGTTATTGTTGGGGTATATCTGTACAGTATCACTGAGAGGGAGAGACAGGCTGATATTTTAGAAATCGCTCTAACTTGATTAAAAGGGCTCTTCTAAAAGACAGGATATTAATATTTAATGTTCTACAGTTTTATCGGTAGGAAGAAATTTCAAGTGAAGGAATCCCTTGCATGGTTAAACATGTGAGATGTTATAAATGCTTTGCTAAAATTGACCATATATCACAGGAAATATGTTTAGGGAGTTGAATATCCTGAAGACAACAGCTCCAAAGCTAATACAAAGTCCCTAACATCATTGTTGTCAGTGTGTTTATTTGACAACTGCAGCAACACAACACAACTTCCTATTACAAAATCATTTAAATCACAAAACAGGTTATTGCAAAACACTCCTCTTTCATACTATTGTTTTGTGTTATTTTTTCTCTTCGACAGTATCTTCACTTCCTCTTAAGCATAACGTCAAAACCACAACTTCTGCACACACAAACAAAAACACAGAGAAAGTAAACATACATGTTCTGGGGTGCACACATATGTTAAAAAAATATATATATATTCATGTTATAAAAAAAAGATACAGAAGCAACTGCAAACAACTGAGCTGCACAACAAATAGCCAAACATCTAACCATTACAACACAACAGATATCACTTTGAGTTCCTCAAAAAGTGAGGTCTGCTAAATTACCACAGCATGTTAGAGGAAAAAAAGAAGAGCGATAGTGCCTTCTTTCATCCTTACTTCTTAACAAACAGTATTTGACTTACTAATAGAGATGCTTAAATCAAGCTTATGGTCCACTTCCCCCAAATCTGACTAGTCTACAAGATGAATTCCCCTGTCAGAATCAAGATGATCAAACAGATTACAATTATTTCATCCCCCATCTTTATTAATGAGGACTGTCTTTCATAGTTATGTTCCCTAATAAGAATAAATGATATGCCACTGCCAGGTTTGTTGTTCCTGCTCACTCAGGGGACTCTCAGACATTTACACTTTGAGTCTGAGAAGATTTTAGATTGATTTTTGCATCACCTAAAGGGGTAATAGCATCTTGGATGTTGTGGAGAACAAAGAATGCAAAAAAGAAATAGAAAAAAGCCCTCAGTGTGTCAGTTAGAGGCGTATTAGCACAAGCCGCAAAAAAACTTAAAAGAAAGACTGTGAAATGCCACAAAAGTAAAAAGTTATCAAGTAATTGAGCGAAGATCGTAATGCCCTGGGGACAATTAACATGGTTCATGGTGCATGAGTGAAAATCCTGGGTTAGTCTAATGGGAGAATAAAAAGACTGCCTGCCTGCCTTCCCAGTAACACTACCCCGGTAAGTAGCCTATCAAAGCCCAGTGTCAGGAGCTGAGAGTAAGACATCTCGTCCTTCGTCCCCATCCATGCACCATTTCTCACACACAACAATTAATACAGCTCCCTCTGTTTCAACTCCAACCGCAGGCTGAGGAAATTAACCACAGGATTTGTTCAAAAGGCATAAAGCAAAAGGGCTTGCTATTCACCACGTAGAAAGCAGAGAGCAGAAACATGACTGTAATACAGTGAGTTGGGAAGGAGAGAGTTGCTCGTTTTTCCTTCCTATAAATGCCATGGCAGATCCTGGACAGTAATAGTTCTTTCTGGATGACTTGAAAACAGAGACCGTGCTTGGACGACTGGCTCTATTCTAGCGGGGGAGGCTTTATTTCTATCCTTTCTTGGTGTCAAGTGCACATCCATGACACCTTTCTCTCCCTCTCTCCCATGCATCAGTTCATCAAAGTTGTAACCCTGTTGTCTTTGCAGAGCAAGTCAGAATGTGCCCCTGGCAAAGAATGAAGGAAAAGTCAACAGGAATTAAGTTTCAGTGCAACTGTTTACTCAACTGTGGCCTGCAGTTATTGAAATTTTATCCATGGTTTTGTGTGACTACTGCAGTAATGAATTCAGTATGGCTGTGATTTTCTCACTGACGACATGCTCATTTTGAGCTGGAAAAAAAGATGGGTGGGTGGTGAGGTCTGGGATTGGGGTCTGGAGCTAGTGGTGTGGGGATGAAGAGCAGATCTGGTAAGGCCTAAAGCTGAGACTGAGAAGGAAGATGCACTCTGACACACCCTTTTATACTTACTGACCAGCTAACAGTTCTTCTCTGGTATGTATTCCCATTCTCTCCCACCAAGTACCCTAACTAATGCAAAACAAAAATGCAAACAGAGGGATCCTGTTTCATGGCACACATTGTGTACTAGTGATAAGATGACATCTCAAACATCACATTTGGCCGGTATAGTATGTTTGCCAATTATTCATATGTGTCTCTAAACTACAACAAAGCATGGCAGAAATAATTAAAATATATGACTAATTTCAATAATCGCTTATGAAGTCATATTACTATTCAAGTGATATAAGTAGGGCTGAGCAATATACTTGAAATTAATGATTTTTCTTACCATGATAAAAACATATATGTGCACAAGTGATTATCACTGCATTGACCTGCGTATTAAGTGAGATGTCAAGCATTGACTTTTCAAAATGCTAAGCTATCTACGGCAAACGTTGTCAAAATGAGACACGGATCAATTTGCTGGCTGTCTTCATTTCTGACAACAGAACTCTGTACCACAGTGTCACAATATCACATGATCATAACGTCATGATGATTCTGCTGAAATATGATAAATGATAATAGTGAATTAGTGCTCATATCTATATGTTACAGTGTCATATATCCTATGTTCCATGCTACAGCATTGTTGTTGTCCTCCCTGTGCAAATGCTGATGGATGTGCTGTGACAACAGATAGCGGCACAGAGCCTGTGCATCATCACCAAACAGCTCCTGACAACAACGCTAGTCATCCTGTCGGATAGACCAAGATAGCAGAAGACACACTGATCTTTTCAATGTTGTTTACTTAAACGCACTGTCGTGTGCCACACATAACACTGACACCAACAGAAAGAGCTTGTCTGTTTGCCTCAAATCTGAGATGGTGAAAATGTTGTGGGCTTCACCGACAATAATGCCAGCGTGCATCTCCGCACCTAACACTTAACACTGCAGAGTGTGGCATTAGTTGTGAGTGTTTACAATGAGCCAGGCAAAAATGCTGTCATCCTATTGGATGTCATGGTTTCTTAACTGTCTACAAAATCCTGTGGCACCTACATACTTAAAATATGTCAGAACACCATGATAAATATTTTACCAAAATGCAGATGTTGCATGCTACAATAAACACACTCACAGCCAAACACAATCGCAAAGAGCACTTCCCTTTCTTTAAATATTCAAAAAGGTCCTCAATATACATAAAATAATAATAATAATGTGTTTATGTAGTAGATTTACTTTGAGGTGGAATTAAATATTAAGTGGCACTTTAAGAGGAGGCTGCTGTTGACATGTCTTAATAAAGAGAAGACCAGTGTAAAAGGGGGATTGGTCTACCTGGTGCTGCTGGAGATGCAGGAGCTCAGCTGCAGTCACCTCCATTGATGGCGTGGTGCTCTTGGGCCGTCCTTCCCTGGACCCGCCGTCCACGCTTCCTCCTCCATTTAGATTTGCTGGTCCGTTGCTCGTCGCCTCGGTCCCAGATTCTTGCATCATGACTTAAAAACCTGAGTGAAGACACAGAAGAGAGAAAACAGGGACAGACACAGAAAGGGAGACAGCGAGAAACAGCTGTTAAAACACACAGCAATGAGGTCGCATTTTAACTCTGAGCCAAACTATAAACATCTGTCATATCCTTCCCACACAATTTTGCTTTTATTGCAGGTTTCCCTGTTGGTTTGTGCTTCCCCGTGTCTTGTTTGTTTGTAGCCTATGCAATGAGGCAAACACACACGCTCGCACAGACTGCTTCTCCAAAGAATAATGAACTGCTCCATTGTTTTGTCTTTTCCGGTGCAGATCAGTCCATACTGGGCTAGAGCGAAGCGAGTGGGATTCAGGTTTTGTTTGTGTTCCCCATTATGGGGTATAAGCAGGGGTGCGGTGGAGGGTTTGGGGTCCAGCACACATCGGAGAGGAACCCAACCTGAGTTGAGTGAGAGCTGAGGAGCCCAAGAAAACACTGGACCTCCAAAACAAAACACTTTCTATGGAAATGGATATATTTACTTGCATGGCTCCCAGAAGAACCACGGCAGAATGGCTTTTTAATGGGAAACAGGGTGACTGTGTGAGGCCTGCCAAAGGATCTCCATGAGAAACATCCAATCTGAGGCCGAATGAAAACAGTCAAGTCCTTCAGGGGTGCTCAATTAACACCAAAATACAGGTCTGAATATAAATAACCCACTTTGAGTTCTGCAGAAAGTGTTGTCTTTCATAATTTAAATCTAACTCAAAAGGACAACGTACAGATATTGGCAGTATAGTTTTATGTATCACCTAAGTTATTATTATTGTGAATATACGGCTATTTGCTTATATTATACCCCCACCCTCCACTGGTGCATATCAATAATCCTCAAATCAGTGGAATGATTTACAGCTATTGTGCGTTGGTCACAGGCCTCAGTGCTGCAACGCGTCTAGCCTCCCAATTCCAGGGCGGTTAATGAAGCTGACCAAGTCAGGCAGAAGCGAATTAACCTGGCTGATTAATTATTTATATGAAGCAGAATAAATGCCTTTAAAACACTGGACCTCATCATGAAAGAAGGTGAAAATGGAACTAAATGCAGATTTATAGTGTTGCATTTAAGGCGTGTAATAGGAGGTCCAATGTGAATTAATATGTGGTCTACTACACAGGCATAGTGTCTCCAGAGATCCAGATCTAAACAAGATGCGGACACACACCCAGACACCGTGGGGACACACACTCAGGCTGACAGATAGGAAATTGAGGTTGACAACTTGTCACATAAGAATATTTACAGAGAACAGGTGAGATAATAATCCAGACAATGGATTATTAAAAAATAAACAGCACTATGAGCAGCACTGCTATTTTACGTCATGGATCAGGGATAGTCTCTCAGCTCAGTATCATCAGTAGCATTTGTGGGCTACAGTGAGTTTAAACAGTACCAGAACAACAATCAAAACCAAAGTTTACTATGGTTTACATCTCTTCTCCTGTAGAAGCCTTCCTTGCAAGAAGCATATCCGAATGAGTCATCTGACACTGTGGCCTGTGCCGGTTCAGTTGCGTGTCACAACGCCCCCACACTCAGGGGCCTGTCTGAGCAGCTTGGACCCGGCCTACAGGCCCTGTTCTCTGGGCTGGGGATAGAGCCGGCCCCCCTCTCCCTCCAGACAGATGTTGACCCGGCTCACCCCTCCAGTCTGGCACGGCCTCCCTCCATAATGGGATTTTCTAAACAAGGAGTGAGCAAGAGGAATACTGTGGGATGGGATACAGCCAGCCACAACTCCATCTACAGGCCCTTGCTCGCACCAACTCCCTTTCTGAGACACCAATTAGAAACACACATTCTCGGGCAAAATTAAATGCCATTTGAAATAAACCATGGGCTGACGTTATTCACCCCCACTTATTTTTCAAATAAAAGACATTTTTCCACATGCAGAAAAAAGAAAGGGGCCTGCTTTCTTTTTTTCCCAAAGCTACATAAACTGGGGGAAAGTAATGGCTATTATACATGCACTGTCATTCAATGCAAAATTTTCATAATTATAACGGAAAGGCGTAAAATTCCAAATGCATGGCATCTCCAAAAGTAATCAAGAGAATGAGCCGTGGGCTATTTTAATGTATGCAAAACTAGTGACCCACAATAAAGGAGAAAAAGGCTACAATGAATGCAAAGTATTGCGCGCATGCTTGGAACCGGCACTGATGAGGGGATGGCTAAAATTAACACCCAATTAATTTTCGAATTGACAAACAAATGAAACCCATAAATCTACTTTCTCATTAATTTTACCGCAGAATAATTCAAAGCTGCAATATCATGAGCGAAAAAATTGGAGGAAAAAAGAAAATGGAAAATGGGCATTATCCATCATAAATATCAAGCAGATAGGAAAGAGCCTTATTAGAGAGTTGTGCTGATAACAATGTTAATCTGTGAAGCACTGAGGCAGGGACACCATCATCAGCTGGGGCCTGGGCAACCTGGCCACGTGATTTGGCCCTGTGTTTGTTTAACTATCTATTTATTTTCACTTTGCTCAGGGGATAGCCTTGTCTGTGATGACTCAAAAAGCTGCAAGTTTTTCCACCCGTTCCATTTATACAACACGTACAAATTCAGCTGTAATTATGGGTCAAGAGTCCTGCTAAAAAGGCTGTAGTTACTGGAGTTTAAAACATATGTATTCATGCTCCAAACACAAACATTTCAACATAAAACAATACAGAAAAGGAGACATGAGGAAAAAATATCTTTCTTATTATTAATGGAGCATGTTAGCTTTTTTTTCTGAGCTGGGAAAGAGTTTTGAAAATAATCAAAATAATGGAAATTCCAGGAGATCAAAACAAGGCAACAGCAGTTAGTACAAAAAGAACTGGCTGTGCTGTTGATTATTAGATGCCTGTCTGTTCTTTGGGGGGAGTTGCTTGCAAAACAAAACAAGTGTTTGGAACAAACACTGGATAATAAAAAAAGGTCAGAGTTTCTGTTTGTTTACAGTTTGTTTTGTTTTCCCTGACTCAAATATGGGGAGTACAGTACAAACAAGAGTCACATGTGTCTCCCACCTGACCAGACAGGTTGAAGGTTAAGAACAGCCGGTGGCCAGAGCTCATGAACCCTGCCTCTCCTCTCCACCCCCCACCCCCTAATTCCTGTCCCCCTGTCATGCTTGCCTGGAATTCAACAGCTCAAACAAGTCTGCAGTCGATTCAAGGTAGGGTCGGCCCACGCAGCTGTGCTTTGACCCTTCTCCATGTTCTGTTTTTCTTTAATGCTCATGACAGTAAAGCCTCAGCGGCCACCTGCTTCGATTCGCCAAGTTCTCACACAGCCCTTGTTTACACAAGCACACAACAAAAGCACACCATTTCTTGGGTGGAAGATAAAGACACACCGAGGAGGGGACAATGGGGAGAGGTTCAATTTAAAGCTGTTTAGGTTCAGCTTGGTTGCTAGACTAGACAACACATCAGCGTGTACCAAAGGTACAACAACAGCATGCTTCTCAAGGTTTGTCGTATGTTCCGATGTATTTTGGCTCGTGATTCCAAGAAAAACTCAAAAGACAAACACAAGCTGTATGTTAAATAATCCATTATTACAGTCCTTATCACTGATAACAAGCTACCACACTCAGAATACGTCTCTTGGAAACATCCACCAGACAACATAGAATTTGGGCTGAATCCCAATAACCTTTCTAATCTGTAGACCCACACCCATCCACATATTATCAGCAAAAAGAGGCCTTCTGCAAACCAGAACCACCTCAATCAAAGAGACTCAATCTGGACTCACTTGCCGCTCTCACTACAATCCTCTGGCCGCTCTCTGCTGCTACCGGCAGGGATGACATTCTACCAAAGGAGACTTCACAGTCAGACCAAACAGCCATGTAATCTTGTCAGCCACTTCAACCAAGTCACAGATAAGCAAAGCATATCTCCAGACTACTGTGACAATATAGTACGAACACACACCCCACCCCTTGCAAATAATACCTCCATCACAAACCCCACATCCTTGCACTACACGAGACACAGAAGCACTTTCCAAGTTCTTCCCAGACCTTGTACGGGGTATAAGCAGACCACTCGTGCTGGCAAACAAAGCAGCTGTTTGTTTAATAAGTGATTGCTGCCATGGCTACAGTAAACAGGAGGAGCAGGGGTTTGTGTTTATGAACAAACACATCTCCTTGCTGGAGCCATTTAATATTAACCAGGTGGAATGATCAGCAGATTTCCTAGGTGACAGTCAGGGCAGGCCTAGTGTAAACAAGTTCTGGGAGGGGAGGAGAGAGGGCCAGGCTTTGGGGAATCAAGGTCGATGCAAATGCAGCTTTGGCTAGAATAAACAGCAAGGCAGAAGTCAAGATAAACAAAAAGTCATTCTTCTGACATTTGAAGACGCATTAGGCTGGTGTGTTGCAGCTGCTCGCAAGCCACGGTGAATGAGAACAAGATGGGTGATGGTGGGTTTGGGCAGCCAGCGAGGTGGTCTCCTATGGAAACACATCATTGTCAAGCAAAGCAACCAAGTGTTTCTCCCAGACCTAACAAACAGTGGTTCTTCACAACAGCACAGCGAGGAACTTGTAAAAACATGTTAAACATTTACCTTGTTCAATTATTCAGTAACAGGGTTTGTGGAAATAACAAAGGATGTCTGAGGGCTCCAAGAGCTGGCAGTCACAACATCAGGGTATATAGTGAAAAAACAAAAACAACAAAAAAAAAAGAAATTAGGTGGAATTGAACGGACAAAGATGTTATCTATCTATCATAAAATTAAGTATGTGCCTTTGACATTGTATGTGTGACTTCAAGCGATTGTGAGTTACTCCAGCTGCTAGATCAAACACTTCATTGTCTGTAAGCAGTGATTACAAAAGACGTGGTAGTTAATGTAGTGCAGGGACTCTCAAGCTGCACGTCACCTTGACCATGAATTTTTAATGCTTACAACAACTTGTCATCTGCTGAGCTGAAGCAGTCCAACGAGGCTTCCCTACCCAGAATCCATAGTTTTCTGTCTCTACTTCCCCTACTGATTTCATTTAGTCCCCCAAAAACAGTTCCCCCCCCCCACGTATGGAAGGCATAAAATATGAGCAAGGGTGCCAAACACATATTTATAATACATTGGGACAACTGTGATAGGATTCTCAAGCATGTAATCTAGATCCAAACCTCTTACTGCACCACGAGCAGAGGAAGGGGACTCGACATCCAAGCAATGGTGAGTCTGATGATTCATATGAATATCAACCTATTATCACGCTACAAGCTCAGATAAATTAACAATAAGAAGGGTACTAAAAGGCAGACTCCAGTGGAGAAGCTGAGTAGATCCATAATTTCAGAAAATACACAAACCAGTTTATCTCCTTTGCATGGAGCCATCCGAGAAACACCTCGGTGTAAAGGCCTGCTGTGCGCAGACAATGACGGAATGTGCCAAAGTAAGGCAGGCCATGGTATTTTTAGTATCAACTAGGGCCGATAGAGACTAAGTAAATAGAGAAGTCTAATGAGTTTAAATCTGGTTGTACATGAATGGAATAGTAATTCTGGGATGTGGAGCCTGTTTTAGGAGTGGCTCGCCACACATTTTCTCAGCGACTCTCCTTCATTTGACTTTGATAATCATGCTCACATGTGGCTCATGCCCATTAACACTACAGCGAGAGGACACACACCAGGAGACAAGAGGCCTCTTTTTTTTCTGACCACAGGCTCAATGCACGGGAAAAAGCAAGCATCACTTCCCTCAAGCTCATCTTACCAATTAGACCTGTCAAACATGCATACCCAAAGAAAAACACAACTTCAATCTATCAGCATCCTATGGGACCTACAAAAGAGCTTATTGTTTTAACATTAGTTAAAGAGTGTCATACATTTTTAATCATTTTTACTAGAATGTATGTAAGGGCAGTTCCCACGGGCATGGGAATGCGAACTTGTGGAGGGGAAATGTGTCAGATGCATTTTCCTGGGAAAACCAAGGTTAGCCTTAACGAACTAGTCTAATTAATATTGCATACCTACACAAAGAGAGGACAGTATTATTAGAACTGCTGTCTTTTGGGGAGATGTCAACTCACTGGAGTGCACACTTCCTCTGTGAGCCGACAACAGGTAGCCTAATCATTTTTGGGAAACGATTTGCAGTTCTATTAACTCATCAAGACAGACTTGTGGTAAAACCACCGCTCTACACACAAAGTAAGCCGCTAATTACTGTTGAGTAAGTCAAGTGTGGTAGATGCATTTATTTATTATGATTCCTCTCTCAGTACCATGCAAGATAACTGGACAAAACAGTAGGATCTGGCCTTACCCCTGCTATTTAAATGATTCTTACCACTGTTGTTTCTGTACAGACAAAAACACGCAGCAGGTGAAGGTTGTTTAGAGTTACTCACACAGAGATGAAGTTAAGCTATTGATTTTCCAGACACAATCATTAACCTTTACACACAATTAATGGCATGGAAATGCAATGGTCATTTTGTTTCAGTAGTAGCTCACCTACAAATGTCAGTGATGAGTGTCTGTTTAAAATTTAGGCATCTGTACCACATCTGCCAGTTTGCTATTAGGCATCTGATTCACTGCCATTGGTATGAGAGGGGGCTTACCCATTGACCCCTCCTGCTGCTTCTGAAGGAGCAATTCTTTCTCAATATGTTACCGGGGTTGTTTAAGCCCAAGAAGCATGTTATTATTTTAAAAGCCCCAGCTTCCCAGAGAGAGGACAGAGAGGGTTAAAAAGGAAAGGGAGTTTGTGTCTTCCATTAAGCAGTTAAATTGAAGATAAAGAGCGAGGGGCTAAATACCACAGGACCTTACATGAATTTCTGCTTTTTAATGGAATCAGGTTTTAACAACTCTTTTTTTGTTAAATACAGCCCATGTCAGGAGGATGCGTCCCACTCATAAAGCAGCACAATGACAATGTACAGTGGCACTAATACAAGGACATAGTTCATCATGACATTTTCTGCAATTCCCAACTGATTAGGGTCATTATGTTGGAGGCCTGATTTATGTTGTCATTTCCTCTCACCGATCCTGCATCAATGAATCTTAATGAATTGGTAAATAAGGGTGAAGATTACACTGTGTGACACCGCAACATTTCTCACCCTCAACGGCCGAGATTTATGTAGCCAATTAGGGACTAACAGAGAAAATTGGCTGGCAGAAAAATAATATTCTTTATGGTAGAAAATGGAGGAGCATTCTCAGTGAAGGGCAATTGTTCTGTCAGTTTTAAAGTCCATAAACCACCCCCCAAACCCACCTCCAAAGTGCACAGGGAAGTCAGACTCTGTTTGCAAGCAGGGGACGTAGGGGCAAGTTTAGACCACTATGAGTCTGTCAGTTCACATAGCCGCTGAGCCTTGTGCTGAGCAAAAGTCTTTAACAGTCACCATGGCCCACCTCACATGTTTGATCAGCATAAATACACCCCTGTATGACAAACATGTTTACCTTCCCACTGCAAACATCAGACAATCAGACACCATGAGGTGCTGCTTCTCTAATGAAGACACGGGAGCTTTTATCAAGGCCAGCCGTGTCCCTCTGTCAGAAATATGCCTCTTTTATACAGACATCAAAAAGCATTTGTACAAAGAAGAGAAGCCAAATTATTTGCTCTAAACATACAATAAGGCAATATTTTTCAATTAGTTTTTTATGAGAGGAAAAAAAAATCTTAGTTAAAAAACACATCCAAATGCCCTTCATCTGTTTTTCAAAGGAGGAATATCAAAATACAATCCCCTCTTTGAAGATATCTCTGATCAACACATAGAAGAGGACATATACAATATGATTAGGGGCTCTTAAACTATTCCTGGGTACATCGTTATCACAACCATGATACTTTTTATTTCTTAGATGCAGATTAAGGAATTTTGAAGATGATTATGGTGAGGGACAAAACTATTTTGTGTATCACTACAAAGCATGAAAAGCTTGCCTGCTTATTAATACCAACTTCTTAAAAGAGCACTTAGAGTTATAATGAGAGGCCTTTATGTATTACATATTGTGACTAGATTTAGTGTGAGGAAGCGGCTCTCCACATCAAACAAACTGGTCTGCTATTAGGCACAGGGGCTGAGGGATGCTGTGTGAAAAGGAGTGGAAAATTAAAGCTGAAGCAACGCAGGAAAGGGCTTAATTTACTGGCATGTACAGTATGCAAATGAGATTACTCTCAGCTTAACTGCATCATTTATGTCCATAATAACAGCATCATCATTACAGGGCTCAAATTAAATTACACTGTAATTAGCATATCAAAGTGATTGGTTAAAGTTTAAAACAAATACCCAATTTTGTTAATGAACATCTGTAATCACCATGTAGACTCTCAGTGAAAACATCCAAAACAAATATGTGTTTTGGAGAAGGGGAGGAATATCCCTCCTAAACGACATGTCAGTCTGTCTGTGTGTCTCTGTGTGTGTCTGTGTGTGCGTGGGGGGGTGGGGGTTCGTACTGATGTTGGCAGGAGGGGGGGGTGTTTTACCTGGAGAGCTCCACACACTCAGGATATATTTCCAAAACTCCAGGAGATCAAAGATCCAATTTCCCACACTTGCCACTTCAGGAACTCATCAATAAAATACTAATCACTTCACGCTTGATTCTGAGAATGGAGCCGCAGCCGAAGGCTTAGGGAGACTTCCATATCACAAAAAAACACCTCCGTTCAGACTGTCTTGACTGTTGTTGATTGTGCACACACTCCTGCAAGACACACATATAATTTGCAGTCAGGTTTATCCAATAGCTGTGCTGCCTTATTTTCCTGATAAACATGGCGAGTTTTAACATCCAGCGCTGTAGCTCAGAGAGCACTTCCTCAGACCTCTGACAGAAATCACACACACACACACACACACACACACACACACACACACACACACACACACACCTTATTTCATGTGTATATGAAAGAAAAGTCGACCCTTTTGATGTAGCACTTCTATCATCTACATATTGATATAATGCATAATGGATTACACAACATACAAAGTGAACTTGATTTTTTTTCTACTTTTGCAAATGTCAGATACACTACCGCTAAGCCCCATGAATACCCTACCTGTTTTCCACTTTTCACTGTTATTACTACCAGTCTGTTTTATGCTACTAATTTAACAAAAAAGTAAAAGGCAGCAGTGGTGTACATTATGAGAAATGTACTCATCAAATTTTTAAGAAGTGGCATCTTATTTTATTTATTAAGAAATCCATTAAAAGGCCTCATTCCTTGCAAGTATGTAAGAGATGTGCCTTTCAAGGTAGAGCTAGGGCAAATCCACTCCATCAGCTAATGATGGCACTCATTACACAGAGAAGCTGGCTAATGAAGGCGCGGTGGCCGGCCGATCCCCTCACCCAGCATAAAGCCCTATGAAATGCTAATATCTCACTTCTAATTAAAGTATACTAAGTCCAAATGCACCTTCACGGCTAGTAGCGGGCAACATAAATTTTATTTTTCAACACTACACTACACCCAGAGATGTGCCTGAGCAACATTCCATTAATTCATATTTAATACCCCCACTAGTCCTGCGTTTGCCTTGCTATCTGCCTGTCCTCTCCTTCTCTCCCCTCTTTATATCGTGAGTAGGCACATCATTACGCTTTCTAAGAGTCCTTTTTTGCTTTTGTTGGTACACATATCACTTTAAAGTGCTTCCAGAAATAAACACACATGCACACAACAGCCTTTCTGCGTGTGTCACAGGGGAAAGGTCAGGAAAAAAACAAAGAGAAAAAAGAGAAATATGCCACCATCGCCCCTGCTCAACCTGTATACATTAACAGTGTTTACACATCTCTGGCTGTAAATATGTTTACAAGAAAACCTGCTGCCCTTCTCAGAAACTGACCTTGAAGCCAGTAAACAACTCTTTTACAAAGTTCATTAACGTCAAAGAGGGTATAGTCTTTCCCCTCGGATGGATAAAAAGAAAGGTCAGTGCCATTAGCTTATCAACAAAATGGCCTGAACAAATACTAAAGAAAAAATTAAAACTGTCAGTTTGAAATGTGGTTAAAACTAAATGTAAAGCACAACTGAATTTTATCATCGTAATTATCACTAGTTAAAAATGTCAACTTACAGCTAATTCTGTGTGTGTGCCTCAAAATATCAAAAGTCACTGTGACTCACAATTGGCTTTTGTCAGAAAGATGAAAACCATATAGGGCTGAACGATTTTGAAAAAATACCTAATTGGGAATATTTATATATTTTGATTATTCAAATTTTCATTGAAAAACATATTTAAATGATTGCAAGGATCTGTACCAAACAAAGATGTTTTCTTAAGTCTGTGGCATATGACGTGAAGGCCAGGACATCTCTGCAGCATGACAATGTTCCATTCAAAATGGTATTTTGACACACATTTCACCTTTAACAAATATTGCACCAACTGCTATTGCGATTTCGATAAATTGTTCAGCCCTAAAACCACAGATGTAAAATATTTTCCAGTGTCTGCTTTTACTATGAATGTCTATGCATATTCAATATACTGGCATTCTGACACCACAGCTTTGACTGAGTAACTTCAAAACTGACTCACTGGGTCTGAAGCATTTTATCAAAGAAATTATACAAGAACTATCATCGGTACACAAGCTAGCTCTATTACACATGACTGCATTATTTTGCTAATAAATGACCTCTCCAGAACCAGAATCTTTGAAGCTGCACAAATTATTTTAAAAAATGACGCTTTCTTTAAAATGCATTTATTTTTAAAATGTTCAAATATGAATTGTTTTACATTTAGTGCATCATTTGCTAAAGGGGAGCAGTAAAATGCATGAACTTAAAGGTCAGTGTTAAGAACATATCACATGACGTCTGTTTGATCCCGGCCCAAGTATTTTCCCAAGGATTCTCTGGCTCTGTACTGTGTAAATCACGCAGGCTGACCTTCTACATTCCTCATGCTCTGTCTTCCCATTCATCCACAGGCACAGATAATACTGGGCAAATATCATAAACGTGAGGATTTTAGGATTGAGGTGAGGCTGCCATCATCCTCCACCAACTGGGGAAAAGAAAGCCCATGCATCTGAAAGAACCCTATTTCCACCTACTGCCAGACTCACCTGCAGTGAGGTTGCCTGACCCTAATGCCTAATAGCCCATGGAGAATCCTCCCAGATGATTGGCAATTTGAGTGAAGTCCAGTTTCTAGATTTTGATGACATCTTACTTTGTATTGATAACAGTGCACATGAAGAACTATCCACCTCTGCTAAATTCAAACCAAATACACCTGCCTCAAAGGCAAATCTTAAAACTTTCATGGACTTTATAGGTTTAATCACTACTGCGTTCAATCTGAAATTACAAACAACATTTTGGCTAGTTTTTACAACTAAAACTGATGCTTGATCAAACATCAACAATTAAAATTAAAAAAGCTACAACCTCCAGAATGCTACATTGCCTCTGCAGTATCCCGGGTTTTTCTGAGTTCATCCAAGTATTACAGAGGGCCTCTAAGCATCGCCAAGAAGTTTCCAGTTCAAACGCAGTGTCGGCTTCGGGCCAGGGCGCGACCTGCAGCTGAACTGGCCTCTGCTCGGCCACAGGGAGGAGGGCAACAGCCACTCCAAACACATCACCCCACCCCCTGATAAATAACTTAACACAGCAAACAGAGGCCCATCAGTCAACCTACACATAAGCTAACACCAGGACAGGGACGGAGATCGATGGAGAGATACAGACAAAGAAAGATGGAAGGAAGGGAAGAAAGACAAGAAGAGGGGACAGAGAAGGAGAGAGGGGGGGGTACATTGTGAGGGCATCTAACAGTGGAGGGTAGATAAATATCACACGGGAGCCTGAGCCAAGCAGTGTGGAAGGCCAAGCACTGTAAGGCTGTGAAAGCCAGGCTATTTTGCCGAGCTGTGACATTTGTTTCTTATTGTCTAAGTGGCAGCTGAAAGCGTCTCCCTGCGAGGGCCCCTCGGCTCTGCTCTGGCCCGCTTTGACAGGGAGGTAACCATATTAGGACGTGTATGGTAAAGTAAACAATAACATAGTTGCAATGAGATGGAAATTTTTCAGCTAATGGTGTTTGTCATTCCTGTTTTCACTGCACTGAGCAGCCCTGTGTTTTTTTTTTCTAGCTGGCCACAGAGACTTTGTTTATGAAAACAACGCAGGAGCCAAGGCTAAAACCAGAGCAAAAAAAAGAAAACTGTAAATAAATATCAGTTTAAAAAATGCCTCTACCTTTTTCATTTGATTACATAAATAAACCCACATATGGGTAGAAACAGCCTTTCGCTTCCCGCATCCCTCCCAGGCCGTGTCCACAGTACGGTGGCTAAATTTGAAACATTTTCCTCTCCGGTATTACCTTCCCACCATGTTAATTCACCACCTTTCACAGATACAAATCAGACTCTAAAAACACTCTCTACAATGGAGAATTCTGAAAACAATGGTCTTGCGCTAGAAGCTAGTAAAATCAATATTTTACATTTTTTCAGTTGTCTGACAAAAAGAAAGAAAAATATGTCAATGAAAGCATCAAAATATTGTGTTTAGCTTCACTGAAAGACAATACAAGTGATCGGGTGGAGTACGAGGATGCAGAAGCTAAAGCTGGGATCCATTAAGTTTACTGATGCCAGTGTAACCGGCTGCTGGCGAGAATGTACTGCACGGTCCTGACTCAAACCGGCGAACTCCGGTACGGGAAGCAGACACGCTGATGAGGAGGCAAAAACCCATGGGCACTATCGTCTGTCGCCAGTGCGTCTCTTATGCTGCATTCAGACCAAACTCAGATTTAATCCTCGCAATGCTGGACAACTGCCAAGTGTTCACACACAATGCAATAATGTGAATAAACACAACTTGCCATTACTACAGCTGTATGAACCCCATGTAAACATTTTGCTGTGATTTAATAGCAACAAACTGGGATAGGATCAAACTGATGCCGAAATAACTACAACATGATGCAGATTTGTTAAACATCTGGTCTGTCAGCAAGACCACATGACAACAACTTCTAAAATGTTTGATTTCTGAATAGAGTTCGAATCAATCAGGGCTATGCTTTGCTACCTTGTTCACATTTAAGTACAACAATAGCTGGAATAAAGCTACAGGCACATATTTTCTGAACTCACCAGCTAGTTCAACTCAGACCTCCCTTTCTTTCCTCCAAGTAATATCCAGTTTTGTCCGCTTTTTATATAAATATGAAGCAGAAGTTAAACAGAGCTCTGGGTGCGCACCGACGCTAACAACAACAGTAGAACTGGATGTGCATGGAAGCTTGCTGCTGAGAAGCTCGAGTGAAGATAAATCAACACTGTAATCCCAAAAATTTAAGTAAAAAACTAATTTTATAAAAGCAGTTAATTCCGAGATCCTCCCGTTAAGTCAGAGTAAAGTCAGTCAGAGCATAATCCAGTCCGACTACAGATGTTTATTTGTCCAAAAGCTGCAAACAGCGCTGCCCTCGGCTAATGAACCGTTATGTTTCTATCACCATAGAATGAGTCTGGTTAGTTAAAAGTAAGAAAAGAAGTGAAATTTAGACAAATGCAGGACCATGCAAATTATTTAGTGCAAGAGCCGACAGAGCTTGTTGGCCACCGCAGTTTCTCCTACCTACTTGCAAAGGGAGGGTGAGCGGTGACTGTTGGTTGCACTTTGCAACCCTCACCACTAGATGCCACTAAAACTT